ATGTGTATTTCGTGAATTTATTTTATTGTATTATTATCGATGTATATTAACTCGTATATGATCGAGAATTTTTAAAAGTTGAAATAGATACGTTTTTATTTTGAATATATCTGCATTTTTATATAAAACAATGGCAGATTCACAAACTACAATTGCTTCGCTAAGAGAATTAAATTCTAAACTTACACTCGAGATTACCAAAATTAGAAAGAAGTATGCTAAGATTGAGGCTGAAAAGGCTGAACTTGAGGTTAAGAATACTGAGCTTTTAAACTGGATTATGGAAAAAAACAGCAAACGTGAAGCTGATTATACAAAACTTAAAGAAGATACTACTAACCTCAAGATCAAAAACACTGAGCTTGAAGCCGAAGTAGCAAAATTAAGACATGATATTGAGGAAATCAAAAAGAAAGATCAAACACGGGATGCATTTTCTATAGAAGAGATTTCGTCTACTTCATCTGATAACGCTTCAAATTCTTATGAACTTAATAATGATCCAAATTTTGATGTATCCGATAACACTTTTTCAGAGACTAAATCTTTTAAAAATAGGGAGATCGAATTTCTGGAACGGATATATAAAGAATCTGTTAGCAATGAAATAAGAGAGAGAAATCGGAAAAAGAAGCTTCAAGCCCAAAATTCTATATCATATGATAAAGATAATTCATCATGTGATATAAAAACCGTTTCCCAGGGAAACAATCATGATAATTCATCATGTGATATAAAAACTGTTTCCTAGGGAAACGATCGTGATAATATTGAAAGTAGTGTAGATATTGCTTCCCAAATAAGAATTCAGCAAAAAACTATTCCGAATACTCCTTTACTAGCAGAAGATCTTGACGATTCAGATGAAATTGAGCTGGCTAAAAATCAGAATATAGAACTGGGTTTAATACAAGATTTACGGAGTGGTAGTACTATTGCTTCACCTACCGAAGATAGCGAACAAAATTCATCTATGGAATCATTTCAAATTACAACACAAAGCTTAATCTATTTGTTTCGAAATACAATACGATCTGGGCATGAAGAAATTTTATCTTGGACTCGTTATTCAGATAATTTTGAAAGTAAAGTTGCTGAAATTCATCATGAGATAGGGGTTACTGATAAAACTGCAAGAACTCAAATATACAAAGAAATGTTAAAACATTTATCTGGCGTTACACCGGTTGCCTTGCGAATTAAAACTCTTAGAGCCAAAAAAATTCGTAAGTTATTTGGAGAAAATGGAGTTGGAATGGATAAAATAAAGTACGTCACCTGCACTGCAAATGATATTTCGAAACTGACCAATGCTCAAATTCAAAACATTATAAATCAAGTGAACTCGAAAAGTGTCTTATCACAAAATAAACAAAGTCATATGATTTCAAAAACCATTTTCCAAGGAAACGATCGTGATAATTCATCTGAAGTAAATACTTTGGCTCATAGGCCGACATTCATCTGATTGGCTAATTGATTCAATTGCCCGGATAACTAATTTATGTGCTTTAAAGTACTTTTTAGGAATTCGATGTTTCACTAACAAAAAAAATTTTTTTTAATCATATACAGCTTCGAAAGGACGCTAACAACTATTGTGCAAAATAATCAAGAGGTAATCAACATTCTCAAGAACTTCACTCAG